AGCTTAGGGCAATGAAAGCCAAGGGCCGCCAGCTGGAAAGGCTTTATAAGAAAACTGGCCTTGTTGTTCACTCCTTGGTATATACTGAACACATTAAGCAGTACAGGAATGCTCTTAATGCAGCTTGATCATCTTATTTCTCTACTTTCATTAATAAGTCCAAAAACAGGCCTAGAACATTATTTACTACGATTAAAAAGTTAACTCAGTCTCTAGTGGGCTCTGATCAAATGTGTCATGTTTTCTTGAACTTTTTTCAGAGTAAAATATCTCATACCTGTCAACACCCTACCTCTGTTCCCACTATTGAACTTCTCTCATTATGCCATGCTCATAGCTTCTCTAGTTTTGACTCTATTGTCCCCACAGTGGTTGATGAGATAATCAGGCTGTCTAATTCCTCTACTAGTCTTCTCCATCCTGCACCTAACTCTTTACTGAAGAATCGCTTGCCTGCTTTGTCACTACCCATCACTCACTTCATTAATACGTCAATGTCATCTAGAACTGTACCATCAAAGCTTAAGATTGCTGCTGTCACTCCATTTCTTAAAAAGCTCGAACCTTCTTCCCTAAGTAGTTATAGGCCTATTTCAAACTTATATTTTCTCTCTAAGATATTAGAAAAAGTTGTTGCCTCCCAGTTACAGGCCTTTTTAACAGCACACAACCTCTACGAGCCCTTCCATTCTGGCTTCGTCCATTACACAGTACTGAAACAGCCCTGGTTAAGGTTCTTAACGATCTTCTCTTAGCTTCTGATTCTGGTGCTCTTAGCACACTCCTTCTGTTAGACCTCGGCTCAGCCTTTGACACTGTTTGTCATGAGATACTCCTCTCACGGCTTTCAGCAATTGGAATTACTGGCACAGCCTTTGAATGGTTTTCTTCCTATTTGACCAGGAGGCAACAATTTGTTATATACCAGAAACACAAATCATCTACCAAATCCATCAGTTCTGGTGTAACTCAAGGTTCTGTTTTGGGCCCTCTCCTCTTTAATATTTATATGCTACCAATTGGACAAATAATCAAACGCTATGGGTTTAACTTCCACTGTTACGCAGATGACATTCAAATTTATTTTAGCGCACCTTCCACCTCAGTGTTTCCTCCGCCTGCATTAACAAATTGCATCAAGGAACTCAAGCTTTGGCTGGAGGCAAATTACCTTAAATTTAACTCTGATAAAACTGAGGTAATTCTGATTGGCTCTAAAGCTGTTGCATCTAAACTCTTTGGTCAACTGATGGATCTGGATGGTGATCTGATTATGCCCTCCACTAAAGTTCGCAATCTTGGTGCTCTCATTGATTCCACTCTTCCATTCAATGATCACATTGGTAAAGTAGTAAAGACAGCCTTTTTCCACCTACGTAATATCTCTCGTATTCGATCCTCTCTCAGTCAGCAGAAACTTTTACACATGCCTTTGTCACATCTCAACTAGATTACTGTAATTAACTTCTTTATGGCCTGTCAGCTAATAATATCAAACGACGACAATATGTTCAAAACGCTGCGGCTAGCTTACCCACAGAAAAATGAGCAATCACATTACCCCAATCCTTTATCACCTTCATTGGCTTCCGGTTTCCTTGCGCATAAACTACAAGATACTAATTCTCACTTATAAAGCTCTCCATAACCTTGGTCCTACATATTTATCTGACTGACTTCTGCCTTATGTTCCTGCCCACTCCTTACGATCTTCTAATGAGGGATTGTTAGTCACCCCTAAGTTTCGTCTGGTGACTATGGGAGCTAGGGCTTTCAGTGTTGTGGCTACCAGATTGTGGAATGCTCTTCCCCAAAACATCCGTCAAGCATCCTCCTTTCTCTCCTTCAAAAACCTCTTAAAAACACTTTTTTCTCTGAGTATTACTCTTCAGTTCTCAGTCTGTAATTTGTACCCTGTTATGGATGTTTATCTACATTCTCTTTGTATCTCTAATCTAACTTTGTAAGTGGTCTCTGTATAACTCTCAGCTCTTGGTATGTGTTCTGTCTTCTGGTATTGATGTTTATTTGTTTCTGTTCCTTAAACCTGACTTGTAAAGTGACCTTGGGTTTTGGAAAGGCGCTATATAAATAAAAATTATTATTATTAAGTGGAGCAGGTTCGAGCTGGTGTGAATGGATGGAGGCAAGGACTAATTTGCATATTAATTTATGGTGTGTACTAAATGAGGTAAAGGTTGTATAGTTACATTCAAGCCATTTTAAGACCTAAAGAAATTATTTATTTAAAGAAACTTTATGTATTCCCCAATTTTAAGTCGCTTTGGATAAAAGTGTCTGCAAAATGACTAAATGTACATTTCCATTTCCTAAAATGTTTAAATATGTTATTTTGATGATCAAGGATGAGTTTTAAAGGATAAAATTAGTGACATGTTTAGGGATGCACCGAATGTTTGGCAACTGAAATTATTTGAATAAGCGAAAAGACCGAATAAATTGTACCGAACAATGACGTGACGCGATCAAATAGCAACCAGAGCAGAGTGTCATGTCAGCAGAGTAACATGTCAGCACAGCTGTGTAGAAACATTTAAAACCGTCTGAGAAAGACAGCGAGAGACTGTTTAGTACTGCAGCGCATGTCTTCGATGAGAAGAGGAAGGGGTGATTGTTGCTGGTTACTGTATGATGATTGAAATCGTGAAATGGTCTTAAACAATTAGTAAATAAACTGCAGAACGTTATGTTTTCATGCTCGAATTGCATGTATTCTGACAGTGCTGCACAAACTTGCGGAGGATCTGCTTGTTAACCAGGGTTCAAAGTCCAAAGCGCGAGGAAAATCTGCACTGAACCAGTGTTACTCGTCAGTTGCTCAGTCACATTTTTATGAATTTTTACAAGGCGTGATGACACTGCAATACGTGCAACATATTCGTAATGAGGCTCATTTATAAATCTGCTGTTGTCAACAAAAAGAAGCATTGAGGTCTTCCTGCGCGTTTCCTCCAAAATAAAAGTTGAGAAAAAGCAAGAACTCCATCAACATTCATAAACGTTAGAATTGTAATTTTACTGTTGTTCTGTAAAATAAAATAAAAAGTAAGACAATAATAATTACAACAGCTCTATTAATACATTTATTATAACATTCACACATTGTGTTCAAATTGGGATCTGTAATATTTTCTAATGTTTTAAAAGAAGTTTCTTCTGCTCAGCAAGGCTGCTTTCATTTAAAAAATACACGCCTTATTCAAGAAGGGGGTCTGATGGACAAAAATTATTTTACTAACTTATTAATTTCTAAGTTAAATTGTGCTTTGTTGCTATAATGTCTGCTAGAATGTTTAAAAAAATGTTCAGTGTTAAATATTTTTTAATTATTGTTTTGTAATTGATTTTTTCTTTGAAAAGCAAGACAAAATAGTAAAAAGCACATTTTGGCTATTTAATTTATGCAGTGGTGAAAAAAATTGGTAAAATACATGGGGGAAAAAAACTCGAAAAAACATCTTTGGCCTTCGGCTTTCGGCCCAGTGTTTCATTTTGTTCGGTTTCGGCCAATAATTTTCATTTCGGTGCATCCCTAGACTTGTTTTGAAATAGAAAACATCTATTTTAAATTAATATTTCACAATATGACTGTGAATGATTACTTTATTTTTGATTACATAAATGCATCCTTGGTGAGCAGAAGAGACTTCTTACTGACCAGAGCTTTTGAATGGTTGTGCACTTGTGTGTCTCACACAAAACCGTTTCTGCCAAGCATCATTTGAAAAATCTAGCTGAGCAGTGATGGTTTCCGCATTAAAGTAAACGTTCCTGTTGCCAGCAGACTCATTGGCCCTGTGAAGTGTGTTTAGGTTGACTGTGCTCCACTGAGCCTGGATGGCAACAACATGAAGGCTTTCATTGAGCTTTGGCTTATAAGGGTTAACTGCATCGGCCTGAACCCCCCTCTGCAGAAAATGTGCGGAATGTTCCCCTTTCCTGTGGGACGGGGTCTGTCTGAATGGGGAGGGTTTGTCTGTCTGTCTGTTGAGGCAAAAAGCCAAAAACAGTCCGGATTGGGACAGGAAGTCCTCACCATGGGCTGGAAATCAGCAGCGAATGTCTGAACTGCACGTTTTGCAAAGTGCTGACACTTTCTTAATGTGTTTACTGTGTGTTCATTGGATTCAATAAGCCTTTCCCTCATGTGCTTTGAGTTTAGCCTCTGATTTATTTTTTAAACTTGTAAACATGTATCAGATTCAATTATATCATTGTTAGGTATTTCTCTAATGAGGTTTACGCTGAAGGTTTAAGTGAGAACAGAGAACAGCTAAGATTAGTGACAGTAAGTGTGTTTACATCTGTAGTCTCCTGTGATTATGCTTAAGCCGAAAGAATGTAAGGTCGTGTGATAGCCTCGTGCCCTTTTATTGGAAAAAGGTAATAAAAAGTTGAAAGAAAATCCAATCAACTTCTCGTTACCCAGGGCTATAAGAGGTAACTAAAACTAGTTCACTTTAAACCATAAAAACATTTGTTGCTTGAAATAAAATTAACATTAACTAAAATAAAATATAAAAAACAAAAAAAAGTTTCAACGTAGTTTAACTTGATATACTAAAATAACTCAAACTGAAATAAAAAGGAATAGAAAATATATGAAGAGTTCATTTGTAAAAGCAGATAAATCCGTTTTTTTCCCCCAAAAAATCGTGTTTTTTATTGTTATCATGTTTTTATTGTTAGTTAGCTGTGTTTTTAGTTATTTTTTACCTAATCAAAATAACCCAACTGCTGTTTGATTGAGATTAATTGGAATGCACAATGAAAAACGTGATTTTTGTAAATTGTTATCTTGAGTTATCAGTTTTTGCAAATTAACTCTTCATATAGACGTAAAAAAACAACTAAACAATAAAATTACTGAAACTAACTAAAATAAAAACATCATTTTGCTTTTTGATTTTAACGAATTATCAGTGTCCCATAATGTTGCTGAATTGATGGTAAATGTCTTTGTTGTGTTTCCTCTGCAGGCCGAAAGCTCAGAGGGAAAGCCTTTTACTACGTCTGTGGGAACGTCTTTTGTGAAGAGGACTTCCTGGTATGCTGTGTTCCCCTCTTCTTTTATATGGGGTTTTCATGTCTCAACATGTCTTGAGACATATCTTACAACCATAGCTCATAGTTATGTCAGAAGAATGTGTCATCTTATCTAAAGCATGTCTTTAAAGACATCATGAGGTTTCAGGTTTCAAAACATGAACCTGGTTATGAGTTCACCTTATGAGCTCACCTTAGCTCAACTTAACTTAATTGTGGGATCCAGCAGTGGGCTTCAGCGGTCTGAGATGTTTTTATTTTGGCTTCTTTGTTCATTTTTATACAAAAGGAAATTGATGATCAGCAGAGTAATTTGAGTAAAATTCACTCGACTTAGAGTATTTGAGAATCATGAGCTTCAATGGAAGCAAGAAAATCTGAGAGTTTCTACATAATGTCACGGTTTTGCTTAGTTAATTTGTTTAAAAATCTGCAAATGGAGCCGTAGTGTAAGTATTTCCTCTTCAATAAATGTCATAGCTTTTCTTTTGATTTTAAAAGTTTCAGAATCCTAAAACTTTATTTCAGTGGAAAAAATTGACTTTTGGGATCAGCTGTTAAATGTTTTGTGCATATAATTGTGTAGTGTTTGAGGTGGGAAGGTATGCCACATTCATGTATGTATTGTGTAGCTGGTTGTAAAAAATACAAATACTGCCACATTTTCCTTAGACAAGCAAAAAAAAAGCTTTTTAAAAACACATCTAGCTCTTATAGGTGCATAAATGGCAAATTTCCTCAGGGAGAATGAAACTTCCAGACCAAAAAGTACAGTTTGTGTTATTTAAATTAGATGAATTGTTATATCTGAGCTGTTAATGTTGTGTGTATTAGAGAAAATGAAGTGATGGAAAGGAACGAGAGTCAGTTGAAAAGCTCACCTCTGTCTTCACTCTTGTCTTTAATAGTACTCTGGTTTCCAGCAGTCTGCCGACAAATGCAACGTATGTGGACATTTAATCATGGACATGGTGAGTCTGATGTACCTCCACACCCTGCATTAGTCACAATATCACACGACTGAGAATATCACACTACAGAGCTTGAAGGAGTTGGTTGGGTTTAATTTATAAAGCTCCTTATTCTACAGTGCTCTTTACATAGATTTGGCTAAATGTAATAGTCTTACTGTGTTTTAGGTAATTTAACTTTTATGTACTTGCATCAAAAAATTAGTTGTTAGGTACAATGTATTTACTGTGTATTGCAAAACACATTTGCCGCTATGGAGGTGGGATGCGGTTAAGATTAGGGACTGGTTTTGTGGTATGGTTAGTTTTAAGATGTAATTGCATGCAGGTATTTTTTAAACGCACGTACAATTTAAAACATGTTTGCATGCAACAGGTTTATTATCGGTAACTAAAACTAAAACCATAAAAAAGACTTAAAAT